CTACAGGTATGTTATTTTTAAATATTTTGCGATTCTGCTGCTCAATGGAATTTTATATAGCGTAAGTGACAACAACGTGATATTTAATAAATAAAATGAACACACAAGATGTTTATAATAAAAAGACGAAAAGAGTTTTGTGATGCCATCTTAGTGAAAAAACTGAGCATTAATATAAACAACTGATAAAAGCAGAAATATGTATGCCAGCACTTCACGATGCATCGGGAATTCCAAACGTACTTCCAAATTCCAGTTTAATTAGTGTAGTTTAATTTTTTTCTTTGCACTATAAATAATTTTTTTAAATTTTGTTGTGGAATCGTATATGGCTGAAAGTGAGAAGAAAATCATGCTGAATAATTAAGCTAAAATGACAAAAAAATTGAAGTTAGCAAGAATGACTGTAACATCAGACTGATAGAATGCGATCTCAGTGACAGCGTAATAAACCTTAGCACATTCTTTGGGTGACCGTTAAAATCTGGAAACGTTTAAGATTTTTATTTTATTTTATTTCTGTTATTAGCTAATTAAACGAGCAGTTTTAATCGATGAGATTGCCGCTTCTTTTGAATGGTCCAGATTTTAAAATCGAAATCCTTTTTCATCGTGTTCATCGATATTACTTTTTTAATTGCTATCGTATTATTGCGCAATAAATAACGCATTTGTCTTGCCAATTATGCAAAATAATACTTTTCTACTCATTTATTACTTTAATAATATATTTTCTTTTCTCTCCCGTTTCTTCGTAAGGACTAATTCATCTTAGATCAGCGATAATTATGAGTAGGTCTTACTAAAACTAACTAGCTCGAAATACGGTTAAATACTAATCCTTAATATTTAGCGAAATATTTAAAAAATGGTAAAAAGGGGTAGTATGTCTACAGAAAACGTGCATTGTAGGAACAGTGAGTAATATTATCAAAACGAGGACTGTTGTAGCTGGCTCCTTATTAGTAATATATTTGAGAAACTAGTTTGTTTTATCACTCATAGCGAACATTCTATACATTCTCGCCAGTGTTTAGTTTCATTGATTTTACTGAACATAGCTCGTTTTATAACTAAAAAAAAAAAAAAAACACTACCGAAATATTTTGCCCTATTCTGTCGTAATTACGAAGTCAAATTGATTTCTCTTTGTAATACCATACATTTTATTTTATTTAGAATTACCTGCTAACATCTCTCTGACTTGCACAAAAGTGGAACGGCATAAAGTCCCCCGTTATGGGTATAAAAGGATGAGCTATAATAAAACTGACGTTAATCAGATCTGTACAGAGCCCGTTCTTGTTGAAGCATTTTGCTAAATGTTGATAAATACGTTCACATATACGTTGATCTATACGTTTAAATTGAAATAAAAAATAAAATTGAAATTGCAACCACTAGGTACCGCTTTTCATGCAATATAAATAGGACGTTATGCAGGTTTGGAATTCTTCAAAACACCAAACAAATAATTGTACTAAATTGTTTTCCTTAACCCTCTCTTCCACTCCGAAAAGATAGCTTTTCATAAGAAGAATTTTTTCGCACACTTTTATTCAAATATAGCAACTGGATATACGTTTTTGCGAGAACAATTTATGCTTCTATATGTCTCTTTATTGTGCATACGTGTAAAAAACCTTCTTCTAATCTCGCAAACACACACTTTTTTTCATACTGTTCTTGGTAAAGTGCCAACAAAGATTGTTCTTTCTGAATGTAAGAAAACATAGTGTTGACTGACGTAGTTTTATTTTAGCAGATGCGCTTTCAGTAATTAATGCTATCGTCTTCTTCAACTGGAACTAAGCGTTTTAGTTACAGGCTTAATTAACTATTAATTTTTCGTACACATTTCCTAACGTAGATAAAAAGCAGTTGCGACGGTAGGAGTGGGTATTTTGTGAATGTTTACCGTGTTTGCGAAAAAGAGCAACTTGGCCTGTTTGAAACACAGGGGAAAATTCCACTGTAATGCAACAGCTTAATGAAAATTTTGCGAAAGTATTATCTTCTTAATTACGACGTTGTCGATTCCATCTGGGCCTGAAGCTTTTTTAGGCAAATGTTGGATAGCATAATAAATATCAGATTTCCGGGCAATACAGAGTACAGAATTCAGTAACAACGCTGTATTTAAAAAAAAAAAAAACAAAAAAAAACAAAAAAAAAAACAAGACACTCATCGGAAAAATCATGGCTATCCTGGATACCCTGGCAGCACACGGACTACACTTGCTACAGGCTTAATTACAGCTTAAGAAAGCAATACAGTTGAATATTTAAAAGCGCTTCTGTTCAAATAAAATCTTCATTACACTCAGTTTTACCTGGGACTTCATTAATTTTCAGTTTTCTAAATGGACGTTTTAAAGGTGGTTGGAGAATAAACCTCTGCGATAAGTTTGTTGTTAGCTACAAAATGTCATCAAATGTCGTTCACAAGACTTACACTATGGAAGACTCTTTTGCTATATCCCTTTTCTGTCGGTTATCCTTTGCGAAAGGTGATATTTTAAGCGCAGTACTTCACATAATAATGTCACGTTATATGTCTGTTAAATTGCAAAGGATTTCAAAAAGCTAGCGCTAAATTTCTTCTTTTTATAAAGAAGTTCTTCCACTTTAAAATGACTATTTTGCTATTTCCTTTTTCAGTCGGTTATCCTTTGCGAAAGGTGATATTTTAAGCGCAGTACTTTACATAATGATGTCATTTTATGTTTCTGCTAAATTCTAAATGATTTCAAAGAGTTGGCAATAAATTTCTCCTTCTTGTGAATAATTCCATTTCTTTTCAAGTGATATGCTGCATTATTACCCTCCATGGCGTTTGTTTTTGATTTGGATGTTATCCACGCCCAGTGCACTCAAGCTGTTGATCTGGGATTATAATCTTGGAAAAGGTATAAGTGTTTTAAGGTATCCGATCCCGTTCGGAGCATTTTTTTTCAAAACTAGCAGTATAAGTATACTATAAACACATTTTCTCATTTATCATCTACAGAGATTAATTGTGGAATATCAAAATTTAATATATTCTATTATTCTGCAAAAAATTGACGTGAAATTTTAAAGTGTGTGTGTGTGATTATGGCAAAGCCTCGAGGGCTATCTGCCTAAGAGGAGGGATGCCTTCGTGGAGGACTTTCTAAGGGAAACTGGCTCCTATACACGTTACACATGGGGAAAACCACGAAACCGCCCATGCAGCCAGCCCGTTCGCGGGATTCGAACCTCGGACCGAACTACCAGTGTTCAGCGATTTTACCGCTCGGCCGCTGGTGGGCCCAGCAAATTTTAAAACAATTTGAAACATTCTACATGAAAAAATATTAAAGTTATCTTAAAATAGTCATACAATAATAAATTACATGCTTTTATCTAGAGAATGATGTAGTATTTTAAGGATATCTTACATAGTAAAAACATTTCAGAATTTTGAAATTTTTTACGAGATTTTCAATAAATTCACGATGTCATTATTCAAATAAGGGGCCATAATTTCCACAATATTTAACATATAAATATTCTGGTATGTCATTCCCTAGATTGCTATATATAGATTAAGCATATAAAGTTTCATAAAAATAAAGTAATAATAATTTGATTTATCTTGCACCAAGTGAGCCAGTTTTTAGAAAAATAGATTTTGAGAAAAATGCATTGAAAGCTTAAAATGCTTTATTTTTATTATTAAATCTTGTTTCAGATACCTAAAACTCCCCATATCTATAGGTTATACCTTCCTTTTGTTCAACTTTATCTGTTTTTCTGCTTAGATTCAGACTATTTGCTTTTTGTGGCAATTTTTACTCTGGATAGTGAGTGATATTTTGATTTACTTAGTCTCTCCATGTCGAGCTTACTAAATCTCTCGACTGCATATTCACCACTTTGCATACCTATATAATTTAAAATATCTACTAAGCCTAAAAGTCCTCTGTTAAAGTGTATAACAGCTATAGATGCCTTCAATTTACCAGTTTGTAGTTCCACAATGACAACTGTCGGTATCAATTTCAAAAAACGTGTCATTAAATCAACTTGCAAGGATTCGAGTAAGGATGACCAATTATTAAAACCCTGCGAGGAGCCAAGCAGGATATATTCGTGTACAAATTTTTGTCATGATATTTTTAAGTACCCCAACATGAATCTCGAAATTTTTCCCAAACAGTTAAGTTAGTATTTACATTGTAAGATAAGGGTTCAAGATATAAATTGAGAGGATCATTTTGGAATTACGATTAAGCACATATATATGGCTTTTTGGGGAATATTAAGATTTCGGAATCGAAGCTTTGGCAGCCTAGAAAAGGTAAATTAAGTACTTATAAACAGTGGATGTAAGATAAATTACGTACTTATAAACAGTGGATGTAAGATAAATTACGTACTTATAAACAGTGGATGTAAGATAAATTACGCACTTATAAACAGTGGATGTAAGACAAATTATGTACTTATAAACAGTGGATGTAAGACAAATTATGTACTTATAAACAGTGGATGTAAGAGAAAGCATATTAATAAACCACTTAAATCAAAATTCCGTCGCTGTTTTCAAACAAATAAACAATGGAAAATTTTAAACTGGGTTACACTTATTCTGTAGCATTATTAGTTTATAGTAATATAAAATGAAAATATTCATTTTAAATTCAGTTTTTTTTATCCCCTATACATAACACATTAAAGTAAAATAACACATCGAACGAATATTAATTTTCAAGTCAAACAACAAAAATCAGAGTTTGTTTGCAAATTTTCGCAGGACTTGTTTCGATGGTTTTGCCGAACCTCATCAACCTCAGATGCCAAAGTGCAAATGTCCATTCGCACTTTGGCAGCTGAGGTTGATGGTTCGGTAAAATCATCGAAACTAGTCCTGTGAAAATTTGCAAATATGAGGTCGATTTTTGTTGTTTGACTTCTAAATTTAATACACAACACATGTTCACTTATGTCTAGATTATGAAATAAAAATTACTAACCATCCTGAAGTACTGTACGTAACCAATGTGCTGGAATTCGCAGTACTTGCAATATGTTCAATGCATATGAATGTTGTGTCCAGCTCCTTCTGGCTTAAATGTGACATCCTGAAAGAGTTGTTCTTATAGCCGAATGTGTAAGTTGTGTTTCCGTCTAATGTGTACCACTTGTGGTTAGAAGTGACCCATGAAGGAAACTGACAGCCACTCGTGGGATATTTACCTAAAAAGAACATAAATTAGAAATCTAAATTTTTCTCCAATCTGTGAGTTAATTATTAGTTTACGAGAGAAATAACTGTATTTTCTTTTACGCAAGATAAATTACATCTTGTATGTCACACTCAAAAGTAGCTTTAATTTATCTAATTCATTTTCGGAATTTTAATTAAAAAGTTTAATTTTTTGTTCTAACTAAAGACTTTTCGCCGTCGTCGTTTCACCGTGGCCGTTTCGCCGTCGGGCCGATTCGCCATCAAGACATGTTTTTCTTTACATGACGGCGTTATACAAGGTGTGACGTAAAGAAACAACGACACTGGTCCAATAAATTATTGTGTTTACAGAATCAGCTCTCCGTGACATTATCACCTACAAAGTGGTTCCCTTCAGGATTCACCCACTTCTGCATTCGGTGCTGCCATTGCTGGTAACAGTTCTGGAACGAGATTTTTGGAGGGCACTTCGTCTTAGCCACAACCTCTTCAGCTGAGGTAAACTTGGTTCCCTTTAAGTAAGTTTCAACTTAAGGAAATAAAAAATTCGCAAGAAGCCAAATCAGGGGAATAAGGAGGATGCTTCGTCACAGTAATGTTTTTGCTGGCCAGAGACTACTTAACAGATAGGGTCGTGTGAGCGGGTGCATTGTTCTGGTGCAACAGCCATCCGTCACTCCACAACTGTGACCCTTTTCTCTTTCCTAATTTTTTAACGAAGTATTTTTAGTACTTCAACGTAGTAGTGTTGATTAACAGTCTGACCACTGGGAACCCATTCAATCATAATGAACGTGCCCAGCATGTTCATTATCTTCCACATTTTTCTTCTCTCTTGAAAACCGCTTATGCCATTCAAACACACGCGCATGAGACAAAGTTTCATCTCCGTTAGCCTCGGTTAACATTTGAGATGTTTCCTCCGCGGCTTATTTCTTAAATTTCACAAGAAACATGATGTTGATTCGCTGTCCGGTTTTTACATTAGACATTTTTCCGGCAAAAATACAGTTGCACGTGTTCACTCAATGACGCAGTACTCCCAACTGGCGTGGTCGGTTAAGTCGAAATTGGCCGCATGGATAGAGGAGATGTAGTTGTTGCCAACTCCATTCTGTTTTCAAGCTACACATTTAGTTTTTTTTTTCGGGGGGGGGTCACACCTCGTATATCGCCGTATTATACTCGCATTAAGGGGACTCATACACCTTAAACCCCTCATGATCTTCGAATATGTGACTGTTGGAAGAATTAGGATATTTTATTTATTTTAAAAGCAATTAGTTCCAACGTTTTACAGCTGACTACATAATATAGCTGCTTTGGAAACTAGTAACCAGAAAGTTTGTGTTCCCACAAATATTTTTGTAATTTAACCCTCTTTGTGACAAAATATTTTGCCATGCTTCCACCTTGCGCGCATGGTATTTTAAAAATGGCTAATGGTACATACTTAAAATTGGATGGAATTCTTTATATGGGCATTATTAAAAAATAGTGCCCATATAAAGAATTCCATTCAGTTAAAAATTTGAACCAATTCAGTTAAAAAACTGAACCCAATTCAGTTAAAAATCTGAACCAACAGTCTGATGAATATTTTAATATTGAAAAATTTTATGGACGAAAACATTACAAATTTTGTTAATAAAATACATTTTATAAACTCAATATAAAATAAAAATTTAACATAAAAGTTTTAGAATTTTAGGTTCACAGTAGTTTCCAAATGTTATAAAAGCTATATATTAAATATGGAATTAAATTATGAAACGGAATGTTTTAAACTGTGCGCGCAAGTTGGAAACATGACGAAAAATGTTGTCACAAAGCGGATTAAATTATAAAAATATTTGTGGCAACACAACCTTTCTGATGACTATTTCAGAAAGCAGCTATATTATGTAGTCAGCTGTAAAAAGTTGGTAGTAATTGCTTTTAAAATAAATAAATTATCCCAATTCTTGCAACAGTCACCTATTCGAATATCCTATGGGTTTTAAAGTTTATGAGTCCCCTTAAATTTATTTAGTTCAATAATTGTGTTTACCTTTTTTACACGTAATAGAGGTTGCTTATAAAGTTGCTTTCAAGTTTGAGATATAAAGAAATTGCTCATAATTGAATACAAATATGAGATACAAATAAATTACCCATAATCAGTTAGAAAATTATGTCAGTATCAATGAGAACTGGGGTTGAACCTCTGATATAACAAAAGTTATATTACCGATTTCAAAATTATGCAGGTACAATTTTTACGTGAGTTATCAAAATTTCTTGAAATTTTAATGGGTAGTTCAGAGATATCTCTCACGCAAACAGGAAATTCACATTTATATGAAATCTAAATTTACAACGGAATTATTTTTAATCTTGCCAGCACATTATTCTCTTAAAATTAATATGTCATACATAACAATGTATAGCATTGTATACAAAAACATTGTCTATATTATTCAGAAGCTTCTAATACAAGGAATATTCTATACTGTAAGTATTAGCAAACTATCTGTTTCTTTAAATGACAAAAATTTAGATAGTTGTTTTATGCGATTTGTTTAAAGTATTTGCAAAAAATTGTAAAAGATTTTTTTTTCTTTTAAAATTTAAACAGCGAGTGGTATGCAATAGGTAAACAAAGTTATTAATTTAAATAAACTTCATAGTATAATATGGCAAGATATAAACAAAGTTATTAATTTAAATAAACTTTATAGTATAATATGGCAAGGTATGGTGTGGACATATAAAGAAAAATAGCTCTTAAATATACGATGAGTAAACAGAATTATTAAACTAAATAAATTTGATATAATTAAGTCAAGTTATGATACAGTCATGTTGTAAGGATTCTAAGTTTTACTAACGTTTATTTTATTTTAAATCTTTACTATCACTTCTTATTTTCTACTTCCGGCCAGAATTAAAAGCTTTAACTTATTTATGCAAATTTGTCTTGCCAAGTACTTAAGTTGTGGCTTTTTGCCAAGCAAGAGAGAGGAAGAAGTTATTAGAAGCAGGCCGCTTGCCATAGTAGTTTTACTCGGTTGCTGGTTGCCTTCAAGGCCAGAGGTTTAGTCCTCTTGATGAGTTCAAACGTATCGTAGTTTTAGCAGCTCTCTGTACTACATACGGATTTTGTTAAATAACGGCCAATCTTAAAGTTAGGCACTTGTATATTAATCCAAAGTTAGTTTTAGTTATAGTTTAGTTAATATTTTTATATTCTTACGTTCAGACCACAAGTGGTGGGTCTCTGTATTCCGAAGTACCGGAAATCGCTGTAAAGATAGAAAAATAAAGGGTTTCGTATACCCTTCCTTTGTGTATTGTCTACTTCACAATTTATTGAACATAGCTTGAGTAAGCTCCCTGTTCCGAGTCAGGACAGTTCATGTTTCCAAAGCAAGTAAAGAGGAACACAAGTCCTGATAATGTAAAGAAAAATATGTATTGACGGCGAAACGCCACGACGTCGAAACGACGACAGCGAATAGTCCCATACCCCTATTACCCTTGTAAATAAATTCTGAGTCAGTGATTACAATAAAAACGCTCATAAGGGAAACATTCAGTCAAATGATTGAAAGCCTTTCCCATTTTGGGAATTAGAGTTACAATTTGTTTTGTTTACAAATTAGGTTCGTAAACAGGCAAATTATTAAAACACATAAAAACAGGCAAACAGGTAAACAGGCAAATTATTAAACAAAGTTATTAAAACTATAATTTGTTTATTTACATTCAAGGAATTTTTCATATCAGTCGAAAGAGATATGAGTGAATATTCGTTGCGAATTGTAATAGTACTTGCAAAATATGAGTAGCAGAATAGGATTAAATCATTAAATCATTCTTAGAATGACCGATTAATTAGAGAGTTCGGATAGCTGAAATTCAAGTAACCGAAGTCTTATTGCTATATTCTGAAACTTCACCATATAATAGTAAGCTAACAGCATTCAAGATATAGTTCTCAAATGGTTTACAGTTTCCACTTTAATGCCTTAATAGAATAAATTCATTCCTGGGTAATCCACAGAACGAGCAACCTAATCTAAGCTACCTGTCTGTTAACAGCTTCTAAACGTTTATGACTGAAACTCAACATTAACTTGTATAATCATTCTATAAATTATTTAGTATTATCTACTTCGCTGCAGCATTATAATTATACTAGACTGTTAGGAAATTTAGATGTGGTTTCTAAATAACACTTGAAGGGACTATACATACATACTTTCAAGTGTTTGCTCTTATTAAAAGCTTATTAAAATACATTTGCATATTAATGATTAATTTAACATATATTTATTACGTAGAGCACTATTATACGAGGCGTAGTCGGAAACTAAGTACAGTTTTGAAAAAAAAAAAAATAGTAAAACAATTTTTTCGAATCCAATTTTATTTTTACATGAAAATACATGTCTTAAACTATTTTTCAGCATAGTTTCCGCCAATGATCAAACACTTGTCATAGCGGGTGACCAGTTTTTGTATACCATCGTCAGAGAAACTTCCCGCCAGTTTCGATAACCACGACTCCACAGCATTTTTCGTGTCATCGTCAGATCCAAAGCGCTTGCCACCAAGCTCGCGCTTCATGTGCAGGAACAAGTGATAGTCGGACGGCGCCAAGTCCGGGCTGTACGGCGGGTGATCGAACTGCTCCCAATGAAACTGTCGAATTAACGATTGAGTGATACCAGCAGTATGGTGCCGAGCATTCTCATGGAGCAGCACAATTCCTTTACTGAACATTCCTCTTCGTTTGTTTTGAATGGCACGCCTTAGTTTTGTTAAAGTCTCACAATATCGTGCCGCATTAATGGTTTCACCTCTAGGAAGAAACTCAGTAAGCAAAAACGCCTTTCCTATCCCAGAAGACAGTGCACATGATTTTTTGTGATGACATTGTCACTTTGAACTTTTGTTTTCTCGGAGAATGAGTGTGTCTCCACTCCATCGACTGTTGTTTAGATTCTGGTGTGAAATGACACACCCAAGTTTCATCACCTGTCGCAATTTGGTTTAAAAAGTTTTCTCCCTCATCACTACCGCGTGAGAAATATCAGGGCACTACCAAATCGCTTTGTTTTGTGAACATCAGTGAGCATTTTTGGAACCCATCGGGAACACAGTTTGCGATAATTCAAGCGGTCAGACACAATTTCGAACAAAACAGTACGTGAAATTTGTGGAAATGCCTCTGAAAGAGTTGTCATTGTGAAGCGTCTGTTCTCATGAATTGCTTCATCAACTTTCCTTACCAAATCATCGGTGACGACAGAAGGCCGACCACTCCGAGCCTCGGCGTGGACATTTCTTCGACCTACATTAAACATTCTTACCCACTTTCTCACCATTCCATCACTTATCGCGTATTCACCGTAAACTTCTGTCACTTGACGATAAATTTCGGCCGGTTTAACATTCCTCGCGTTCAAAAATTTAATCACACAACATAGAGCAACCAAATGGCGACAATTGAAAGTCAGTGAACAAGAAAGACTAGTGCGCATGCGCGGGACGCCTACCACAGCGCTGCGACGGCGCTAGAATGAAACGGTACTTAGTTTCCGAATACGCTACGTATTATATAATACTACACTGTAATTTTTAATAGTATGCAGATATATTATTATTGCTATTGCTAAACATATGCTTCTTATTGCATACTGACATAGACATCCATATAGACATGAATGTTTCAGCACCATATTTATTTCTCCTGAAACAAACAAAATAATAATAACAATACTGGTCAGTGATACCTTTGCTTCTATTAAGAAGACACTTTATAACAAATGAGGATTATCTCTAATAAGAAAAAATGGCTGTGTAGAAGAATTTCTAGAGGAAAATAATTTATATTAATGTTACACATGAGAATAACTATTAAAGTAAGCCTAATCCTTTATTCGTTTAGTTAGGATTCGAATTCGGATCGAAAAATCATTGTTCAGCGATATTTATCTACTCGACCAGAGGTGGGCAATGTACACTCATGTCCATAAATTAAGGATAATTCGGAGTCACGCGGAAATCGAACTCTAAAATAAATATATCACCTGTAAAATCACTACACACATCTTCAAGAATCATATGCAAATTTCAGGAAGTAACCAGATGACACCAATGGTACGTCACAACGACCAGAGTGTAAGAGAGTGATATATAAGGAATATAGGCAAAGAAGTGAAATTGTTCGCAGGCGCTTTATAAGCATTTCAGTGCAATAACCGAATAGTTATGACACAAAGGACGCATTTGGATAATTTTTTACGTGGTAGAATTATCGACCGTCTGGAATGTGGGCGTACCCAACTGGAAGTATCAGACGAACTTGGAACTGCCCAGAGTGTCATCTCCAGGCTTTGGCAACGATTCCAAAATGATTGTAATGTCAATAGACGTTACAGCACAGGTCGCCCCACAGTTACAACCCCGAATGAGGACCGGTATTTGGCAGTTCCTGCCAAAAGAAACAGGCGGAGCACAGCCTCAGACCTGTCTCGTCAGCTCTCTTCAGCCACTGGTACGAAAATTTCAAGGCAGACCGTGTATAGACGCTTAGGGTAGATTGGTCTATATGCTCGTAGACCTGTCAGATTCGTTCCACTTACTGCAACTCACTGTCGGGTGCAGTTAGCCTGGAGTAGAGAGCATGCATTGTGGACACCGCAACAGCGGGCTTGTGTGATGTTTTCCGACGAGTCCAGGTTTACTTGCAGTCTGATTCTCCCTGGACTTTCATATGCAGAGCTCCAGGTACTCGTTACCACCAAGAAAACATCACTGAACGACACCGTTACGGTGGTGCAGGTGTGCTCGTTTGGGGTGGAATTATTCTGGGTTCCGGAACTGACCTGCATGTTCAAATTGGAACCATGACAAGCCAAATCTATCGGGACGTCATTCTGCAACAACATGTACGTTTGTTTCGGGGCGCCATGGGCGCACAATTTGTGTTTATGGATGGCAACGCCCGTCCTCACCGTGCAAACATCGTAAGCGAATGCCTTCAATCGAAGGATATCACCCGTATGGACTGGCCAGCATTCTCACCGGACTTGAATCCAGTAGAGCACGTGTGGGACATGCTTGGCCGACGAGTTGCAGCCCGTCAACCTCCTCCTACATGTCTACCGGAACTTCGGAGAGCATTGCTTTTTGAGTGGTGTAATATCCCCAAGATCAGATCGATAATGTAATATTCAGCATGCCTAGGCGTTGTACGGAATCTATTGCATGATCTGGGAGACATACAATGTATTAACAATCATACCAACCATATAATATTGATTTTTTGTAAATAGTTTTTTTTTTTTTTTTTTTTTTTTTTTGTAATTTGCTCCAGGGAGAAAAAATCGCTATTTTTTTTAATAATATCAAACATATAGCATCTTTTTTTGCTCTTTACCTTTTGTTTAATAAATAAGCTTTACAAATCAGTCAAATTTGTTTTGCTTCTAACTCTTCCTTTGCCTGATTTTGCATTATCCTTAATTTATGGACATGAGTGTAAAACAATGAAATTAATTTTTATTGACTTCGATGTCTTAACTTTAAATAAATAAATTAGTTTTTTAATGCCCAAAAATTAAAGAAAGAAGTATTATTTAGTTAAAACAAAATACAAAATTTATTTCTACTTAAAATAGAATCAAAATAAACAGCATACTAGAAAAGTTTGTTTGGTCTATATATGCAAGAGCCCACTTGTTAGATTTAAGGAAAAAGAAAATAAAAATAGAAAGGCATATGCATGTTAATAATTTTTTTCTTTTAATATTCATAAAGAGTATATTTGTAAAATTATCTATAATGATATGTCGCAGAATTAGATGAAAGGAATATGTATAACATGTTTCTTGACTTATTGTAACTAAATAAACATGATATACACATTTAGGTAAATTAATATAAGAGTTCTTTGAAATATATTATCTAGTTAGAAACTGTTTTATGCTTTATATAACTATACATTACTTTTATTAATGAATAAAATAAAAAGAGAATAAATTAACATCAAATTTTGCATTGCCTTTAAAAAGAACAAACTATCCCAGGGTCCGGATTATTGGGATTCTATTGTATCACCTTACCTTTTCCAATTATGGAACATTCTGCCTCGCAGAAGGTACTAAACTACCATTGCTTTTTAGATGTTAGCGGTGAGATAAAATTAGCGCTGTGTTTTCCTTTTTAATATTCATCAATATGCAAGTGTTTTTAATCTTCATATGTTCAGGATTTTAACTAAAAGATTTTTTTGGTAATTACACACATGTGCAAAATTAAGAGAATTTGCATATTATGCCTAATTTCTGAAAAAGTAATGGACACTTTTTAATAAAGTTTGGATGAATATACATTTAGAACAGATAAAGAGATGCACCGTACAAAAATCATTTTACCTACGCTTGAGTATCAGTAAACTTCAGGGTTCAGAGATGCCCAAAATCCACGGTGTGGTATCAAACTTAAATACCAGACAGATCCTGCACGTGACGATATACTGGACAGGAGGCAGACTAGGAGTCCCTGTGGCATTCGAACCTACTCTTGCAACAGGGTAGTTTTTAACACCAGTGTGGTTCTCGGAGGAAGACTACAAGATGAAATTGCTCTTCCAAGAGCGTTCCAGGTATACTGTATACGATTAAGGTCAGGAGATGTGGCTGTCAAATTTATGCGACGAATAACTTCGCTTTCCATGTAATCGTCGACCATCTGGGCCTTGTGTTGACGAGCGTCATCGCCCATTAACAAGACCCCAGGATTACCTGAACCCGTCAAAACTCAAACATAGGGCTCCAAGATCCTTTCTCTATTCATCATAGCAATCAGGGAGCAGTTGTCAAAGAGATGGAGGGGTGTGTGGTTGCCCAACGTAAGGCCTGCTCACAAATGTTGCATCTCCCGTAATGATCATTTTCCCTAATGAGGGAGGTCTAATATCATGTTCCAAGATCTTTCCAGATACAGATACACCTAGAATCAGTATTCAGACTGAATCTCGGCTCATCAGTGACAGTCACGATGCTCTACTGAAGTCTGGTTCAATCAGATCTGCACCAAGCTAAACGCATTCTCTTGGGTGCTGCAGTGAATGAGACGCAAGCACAGTATCTTTTGGCATTCAGCCCTATCTCATGAAGTCTTCGGGCAACAGTAGATCCAGAAAATTTGGTTTCAGTGGCAGCATACAACTCCCGTGAGATCTGTGAAGCAGTAGCAGTCTTGCATCGCCGCACTGAAAATGCCAAATAAAGATTCTCATTCGTCGTTACGGATTTTGGTCTACCATTTACGGGTCTTTTCTATATGGATCCAGTGTCCTGGAACTGTGTCCACAAATTGCAGACGACGCTAGGCATTCCACTGAATTCTGTAGCCACCTGCGCTTGTGCCTCAAATCTACAAACAATTCTTCATCTCATTCCGCCATCCATATGTTCGTGGCTATTCATTTTACCTAATAAAATTTACGTGAGAAACAAGACGAATGTCGTGAAGGTGGACAGGCACACAAATCTTCGAAAAACCTTCGTGCACTTGCATCCCCTTCAGAATCACTGCTCCCCAGACAAGCACGTGTAGGATTACGTATTCGATTCTGAATACTTCCATAATACTTCTGTAGCAAATTTACTACCTTTGGTTTAATACGCTTCGTAAAAATAGACATAATTTGCAAATTCTCTTAATTTTTTACAACTGTATACGTTTGGGAAAAGCTTAATTCTGCCGGCGTAAAGAATGTAATGTACCAGTATTGCTCGCATATCCACTTTATCATCTCAATCCCCGATCTTAGTTTTCTCTTCCACAAGCCAAGGAATTTATACTTCCCAAACGTAATTAACAAACATAGTTCATCTTTCTCACTAACAGTAAGAGATACGATTTTATTAATGTTTATGCTTACTTTTCGTAAGTCTCATAGTCTTCGACCCTTCCCATGGCGAGACGAGGCCGTCGCATGTGCCGTCGGCAGACTGAGACATCTGAATGAGTTCTTTGCCCGGCAGATAATCGAAAACCTGTTATTTCGAGATGAAAAACACATAAGGAGAAAGTAATTAACAAACACAATGAAATTAAATCACACTTTTTTAAACATAACATAGTACGCAAATTAATTGGCACAAAGCGATTTTCTTTTTTCAGAAAATTTTAAGCTGGTTTCCAGCAGGTCTCTTAAAACAGTCTTTTATATCTTAACGTTGTCTAGACGTCTGATTTTGGCTATTTAAAATTTATTTAGACAACAAGGTAAAATTATTACACCATTTTTAAGCTTGTTTCTGTGAGAAGAGGAAGTTACTTTTGCATACGTTTTAAATACGTTTTGCTTTCGTTCATTTCAATGCACTACAAATGGGTATAATGACTAAAAAAAGAGCAAAGATTATCGGACAGTACAAATATTGATTCGCTGGTTGTGCTCAAAAATCGAGTTCCTCGAGTCCCGAAAGGACACAAAGAAACTGGATTATTTTCTCCAGAAAGAAGGGCTAATGTGGAAGAAAAAAAAACTCCAAAATCTGAACAATTTGTACCGACATTAAGCTATTATTTTCTGGCAGAAGACATAAAAAATGTGCAATGCCTTCGCCGGGACTCGAACCACGGACCTCTCGAATAAGCGCCGAGTGTGTTGACCACTACACCACGAAGGCGGGAGAAATACCTTATTAAATTCTATTCCATAAAGGAATTATTAATCCGACAAAACTTAAAGCCTTTAAAAGAGATCAACTATCCACTGGTGTTGATATTTATCCGAGAAAAACCTGTTCAAAAGTAAATTTTTCATATTAAAGCTATTATTGGGAGCCAAAAAAATGCAAAACAAAACCACAGATAGCTTTAAAACAATGTCATTAAAAAAAGGTCATTTTCAAGCCATAAGACTCTTTTATTTTTTCAATATTACATATCTAACGTTGTTAGAGGAAGCAACGGTGAGATAATAAGATCTCAACATTTCTGACAAACCGTAATGTAAACTCCAAAATAAATGCCTTGGGGTTTTTTGACTGCAAATGCCACTGGAAATCTAGTTCGTATTTGCAGAATAATAAATTCATCAAAATATACAGAAATTTTAAAACATAGGATTGTGCCATTCTCGAAAACCTTCGCAGGGACATTTCAACATAATTAAGACACAATAACACGCCGAATAAATACCAATTCAGAAGTCAAACAACAAAAATCAGCGTTATATTTACAAAATTTTCACAGGACTAGTTTCGATGGTTTTACCGAACCACCATCTTCAGCTGCAAAACCGCAAATGAACAAGATAGGAAATAATGATTAGATAAGATAAGAAAGCCTGGACAAGAATAAGCAAGTGGCGCCATCTGTTGGTGAAACGAGAACTAAAACATAATTTCTTTAAAGGCCGAAGGCAAATTTGGATTGGAATTAGGATCGTTAACTAGAATCATTATTTCCTATCTTGTACATTTGCGGTTTTGCAGCTGAAGATGGTGGTTCGGTAAAACCGTCTAAACTAGTCCTGTGAAAATTTTGTAAATATAACGCTGATTTTTGTTGTTTGACTTCTGAATTGACATTTCAACATGTCTTACTTCATGCCACAATTCGAAATCTGTCAGAAGGTTCACATTAGAGAATAAAATTATTGTGCTAGACTGGCCTGGAAATTCAACGAACTTTAATCTGGTTGGAAACTTAAGACACATTCTGAAGGAATAGCTTAGCAAAATGGATTGAACAACAAAAGATCGCATGATTAAGAGTACTATAAAGGCGTGGTGATTCCATGATAAAAACTTAAAAAGTATAGGCATGAGACTAGTAGATTTAGTGCCTAAGTGCATTGTAGAAGTTATTTCTGCTAAAGGTGGACATATTTCCTACTAATTTTAATATTATTATTATCACTGTATATGAAAGGTACGCATATAAATTATTAAAAAATCGCTTTTTCCCGATTGATTTGCACGCTATAGTCTATAGAAAATGTCAACTTACGAAACATCGATAAGCATTGCTCTCTGTGAACGATTGTTGAAAACTTTTCCTAGTAGATATTTTTCCCACCAAATAATGTGCAGATCCTTCTTTCCACACAGCTGTGCATGTTAGCTCCTCCACTAAGGACAAAAAAAAATGTGGTTATAAAATGTTTTTTATCAAACAGAACTCTTATTATGTGTCTTACTATCTTCTTAACAGTATATATCTATGTGTTTCATAAAAAGAATAAAAATGTATCTTCTCATTCACAGAATTACACTTGAAAAGATAAAAAAAAAATTAGTTCTGAATCTCTGTTATTTAGTTTTTTTTAATATTTGCAAAACAAACTGCTCATACGCTAATTATTACAAGCATATTATTAATGATTAAAAATTAACATTTTAAATTTGCAGATTGACACCAGGCTATTTGGCCTTCACTCAAACGTGAAACAAACAAAGTAACAACATAATATCTGAATCAATGTATTATTTTCTAAGCACCAAAACTTTCAAAACAATATGAGAAAAAATTCTCGTTATACAGACATTTATAATGTATGCTTCCATTACCTGGTTACCAATAAACTTCTGTGGTGTTACTTATATCTAGAACTATATACCGGAAATATTAATCTGAATTTTATTATTCGATAATAAAATTCAGAGCATGTATATGCCTTTATAAAATGACAAAATTGTGAAATATCACAAAATACGCAAAAAAAATTCAAAGGAACATATCAGTATTAGAATTAAATCCGAAGTATTAATATGATGGCATTAAAAAAAAAGCTTTAAAATAAGATAACCATAATTAGATGTACTAAATTTATAGTTTATCAATGAATTCATTTATTTAAAAATAATAAATGTATCTAGAAATGTTAGAAATTTTGTTTTTGAAATCTCTTGCTGCGCATACATATTTTGCAAAAATAAATAAATACATAAACGAAGCATCATGAAGAACGTGATTGTTTTATTGAACTTATGTATACGCAAAACTCATGCACAGGTAACAAAACTTGGTCAGTCAAATCAGAACGGTCCATGCTGGTTGTGGATGATGTTGAATTTGTCGTCCAATCATATCCCATACGTGCTCAATGGGAAAATATCGAAATATCTCAAAGGCCAAAGCAAGATTCGGTACTCTGTAGAGCGCTTTGCGTGATAGAATGAGCGTTATCCTTTTGAAAAATGCTTCCTGGAATATTGCTCAGAAGCACAACTGTGGAATTACCAATTAGAAGTACAAATTTGCTATCAAGGTGTGTGGTATATGGACGAGAGAGCTCGTGCTCTCACAGGAAATTGCTCCCCTGATCATAACTCGTGGTATATATAACAATGTGCCTAGCGTAGGTCCAATATGTGAGTAAGCCACGGACAGCTTGCTTCTGAGTGCTTGCCAAATCTCCTTTCAACCAACATACAGCCATCATTCATACCAAAACAGAACCGCTCTTATCTGAGAATACGATATATCTCTACTCGACCCTTCAATAAGCTCTAGCTTGACCCGCCCGAAGTTGCAGAAGGTGGTGATTTGGAGTTCGTGGTATGCTGGCTACAGTGTACTTGCCTGACAGTGTGAAGGCTGTGTCGCTGATTGTTCCAGCGTGTTTATAGTAGGTCTTCGACAACTGTAAAAAGTGACTTTGGATCTGTCCTGATTAATATTGGCCAAATAAAGTGTGTTTCGATACTTCATCAAGTGTCGTCGTTATTCACTGCAAATCCACACGAACCCTGTACGAACGTGAAGGAAGAAAATAACGTAACAACTGGTGTCAGAAGAATAAAAAGAAAAACGCAACAATATAAATAAAAATGAATCTTTTCTTACCACTGCTTTCTGTGCCTAAGACATCAGCACAAGCTTGGAACCTGAACAGTAAATGAGAATCATCGGTGCAAGAATCTATGGTGGATACGGGATAGTGACACTCTCCTCGTCCTCTGGTATATGTGAAGGTGAAAGGGCCACGAAGTTCACACGACACTGGCTCAGCATCCACTGCATACACCAAAAAATTACATTTAAAACCTTTTACTTTTCAACGTTTAAATTTAAAAGCTTACATTCATTAAAGCTTATAAAACGCTTATATTGGTAATAATTTTAACTTGATATATTTCTCAAACTCCTGTTATATGTAACTTATGATTTCATAAAACGTAAGAACTCGCTCTATAAAGTTACGTATACTGACTTAAAATTAAAAACGAAACGTAGGGCAACAAGTGTAAAGGAACATAATATAAAGATCCATTCAGAGCCGTGATCCGCTTGAGAAACTCTGTTATCTTTTTCCGGTCCTTTAGTAGAAACCACAGAATCTTAAAACAATTAATTTAAGAAACATAACTAATTACTTTTCAGCTATATAAAACCTTCGAAACAATCACGTTTATAACCATTCCCGCTTAAAATGAGTTCATTAAACTAACATTGTTTACAGATGAACTACAAACAGATGCTTTCAATATAAAACGCTTAAAAACTATGGAAAACATTTTTCGTCAGGCTATTAAAATATGTTATACGTTTTCCTTTACAATATTAATTCAACTATGGTATAATCTGGGCCTCGGCAACCTATGACCTGTGTGCCACGGCGTGATTCATTTCATAATTTCAAATGAGTCGCCTGAATTCCGAAACTAAAGTATAATATGTAAAAGTAAATTATCATAAAACGTAAATATGAAACGAACACTTGAAGAACCAAAATATATTACAACTGAAAATAATTAATAACAATGAATGGCATTTTGTTGGATTAAAGTTGCAGTAATTAACATGCATTTTTATTTTGAAAAAATAAAAAATTGTAACGTAACTTCAAAGAGAAATCGATAAGATTGGCAACGCGGATCCCTAACCCATACTTCTGAAAAATTAGTTTTTCCATTTTGTCCACATTCGGTTCAAATTATAAATGTGAGCAAATATTTTCTATTATATTTTAAGAAGAAGGAATCTTAAAAACTCAATTATATATACTCAACAAATCTCCCCAGGATCTGAACCACGGATCTTCTAACTTATAACTGAGCGTTTTAATCAATTATACCACGAGAAAAAGCGCGGAGAAATGGAATGATTCTTTATTTCCCCCACGTAAAGGTTGAATGGGAAGAGGGGTGAGAATCAGTCGACGAATCCAAGTGGTGACGAGGCATCATCCTTCATATTCTTAATTTAGTCATTATTGCACAGAATAATTAAGTTCTGCGGAGAAAGAAAATTGAAGACTCAGGTTTGCTTTCGGCAGGATTCGGATCATGGATCTTCCAGGTGTTAACCACTTACACCAGACTTACTGTACCAGATTTATCAGTTTCAGAAATGCAGCACTGGATGTGGAAGTGTCCAAAATAAAAGCCTTAAAGGGGCTCATACAGCTTAAACACCTTATGATCTTTGAATATGTGATTGTTGCAAAAACTAGTATATTTTATTTATTTTAAAAGCAGTTACTTCCAACTTTTTACAGCTGACTACATAAATATAACTGCTTTAGAAATTAATAACCAGAGAGTTTGTGTTGCCACAAATATTTTTGTAATTTAATCCGCTTTGTGACAAAATTTTTCGTCATGTTTCCACCTTGCACGCATGATATTTTAAAAATGGCTAATGGTACTAATTGAAATTGGATGGAATTCTTTATATGGACACTATTTCTACCTGAACCAAAAATCTGATTAATATTTTAATATTAAAAAATTTTATGCACGAAAACATTACACATTTTTTAAATAAAATACATTTTTTAAACTCAACTCCAAATAAAATAAAACTTTAACATGAAATTCTTAGAATTTTTGGTTCACAGTAGTTTCTAAATGTTATAAAAGCTATATATTAAATATGGAATTAAATTATGAAACAGAATGTTTTAAACTGTGCTCGCAAGGTGGAAACATGACGAAAAATTGTGTCATAAAGCGGATTAAATTATAAAAATATTCGTGGCAACATAAAATTTCTGCTTACTATTTCAGAAAGCAGCTATATTATGTAGTCAGCTGTAAAACGTTGGAAGTAATTGCATTTAAAATAAATACGTTATCCCAATTCTTGCAATAGCCACATATTCGAAGATCTTATGGGTTTTAAGGTGAATGAATATCCTTAATTTCAGAATTGGCAGATCTTCACAATAGCTGGAAAAATATGTGGAGAGAAGTATTTTCCTTCTTCAAAAACAGAAATTAAGCTATCTGGAAGACGCAGGGAATGCAAAATGCAAAAGGAGGTTTCTTATGATTAGGATGCCAATTTATCACTATAAAATAAGAAAGAGTCACCTGAAGGAGTGCATTTCAGGAAGTCTGTTTTCTAGCAACTTTGGATAATGTTGTTTCGTTCGTTTTAATGCTGCAATGAATTTTTCTATGAAATGCAGCTTTCCTTCAAAATACCCAACAGTTTAAGAACTGACAGAACTGAACTTCATAAGAACTGACAGAAAAATTGGTACTTCTTGACAGATCTAATTTCCAGTTGATAACAGGAAAGATCTTGGAGACGATTTATATCCCAGGTGTTCCTCGATCTAATTTTAGACGAAACCAAAATACAAGTTGAAGCTTCTGGATTGCTAAAAAACTTACAAACTACATGGATTGCTTCCAAATGAACATAGCAATGTGCATAATCTGTTGACAGTTCCTGTTAATGTCGGCCGTGCGGAGTGATGATTCAGCAAATTAAAGCTGCTAACAATGTTTTTTTATTAGATCATAAGCCTAACTAACAGAACTGGCAGTGAGTCTGTTTTAGTCAAGCTGGTTAATTCCAATTATGTGATTCAGAGTTTCGCCAGGAATTGAAGAAATTAAGAATAAAGATTCGATCTGAAATAACAGGGGGACCGGAAAGTAATGTCGCTTTCTTACTTTAAATTCAAACGAATACATTTTTAACAAGTTTTTATTTTTAATCAATAATATAAACACCCTCGTTATCAACAACCTTTCGCCATCTAATGAGCAGATTTTCAATCCCGGACCGATAAAAATCAATTGGGTTTTGAGTAAAATCTCTCGAGAGGACATTTTGGACATCATCCAAATTTTCAAATTTTTTGCCACTCAGAAAATGTTGTAGGGATCCGAATAAATGGAAAACCAATGTTGCGATATCGGGCGAGTATGGTGGGTGAGTATGGTAGTACCTCCCACCTAATTCATTCATTTCTTCCAGTGTTCGTCTTGCACAGTGTGGTCTTGCATTGTCGTGTTGCAGAATGACGCCTTTTCTGTTGACAATTGATATTTTTCAGTTAAAGATTGGTTCACTCCATCCAATTGTTCACAATAAAGGTCTGCATTAAGGGGACTCATACACCTTAAACTCCTCATGATCTTCGAATATGTGACTATTGCAAGAATTGGGATATTTTATTTATTTTAAAAGCAATTACTTCCAACTTTTTACAGCTGACTTCATGATATAGCTGCTTTGAAAACTAGTAACCAGAAAGTTTGTGTTGCCACAAATATTTTTGTAATTTAATCCTCTTTGTGACAAAATATTTCGCCCTATTTCCACCTTGCGCGCATGATATTTTAAAAACGGCTAATGGTACATACTTGAAATTTGATGGAATTCTTTATAGGGGCACTATTTTCTAACTGAACCAACAATCTGATGAATATTTTAATATTGAAAAATTTTATGGACGAAAACATTACAAATTTTTTTAATAAAACACATTTTATAAACTCAACTCAAAATAAAATAAAAATTTAACATGAAATTTTTAGAATTTTAGGTTCACGGTAGTTTCCAGACGTTATAAAAGCTATATATTAAATATGGAATTAAATTATGAAACAGAATGTTTTAAAATGTGCGCGCAAGTTGAAACATGACGAAAAATGTTGTCACAAAGCGGATTAAATTATAAAAATATTTGGGGCAACACAAACTTTCTGATTACTATTTCAGAAAGCAGCTATATTATGTAGTCATCTGTTAAAAGTTGGTAGTAATTGCTTTTAAAATAAATATGTTATCTCAATTTTTGCAACAGTCACCTATTCGAACATCTTATGGGTTTTAAGGTGTATCAGACCCCTTAACAGTTTGTCCAGGTTTCAGCAATTCAAAATGAACAATTCCGCGAATACTCCATCAAACAACCAAAAGCGCCTTTTAGGGATGTAAACTCTTCGTAACCCCTATTAAAACTGCCTTTTGAGTTTTGCATTATCAGATAAGACTTATATTTTTTTGTCTCCACTAATCAAACGATCAAAAAAAGGTTCTGTAGGGTGCCGTTGAAGCAATACGTGCACGTGATGGATAGGTTGGGCTTTGTTCTTTTCGGACATATTATGGGGCACTCAAACACCTGGTTTGCTTATTTTTCCATCCTGCTTTAAATGTTCTTGGATGGTCGACCAAGGTTGGTTAAGAGTGTTTGACATGGATTTGCTTCCACTTCTGCTCTTAGCTTGTTGTTGTCGACAGGCGCAGAAACGACATTACTCTCCGATCCCACTATTACCTCGCACTCTCCAAGATCATCGCAGTTACAGAGTTCCGTTTGGAGACCGGACATTCGCTAAAACATTTACACTGCATTGTTATGTATTATGATAGATCTTTGTGGACTTTGTGCAATCAGAAGGTTTGGATGTGCAGAGATTATTTGCTAAAATATTCCTCATGGAAGGAAGAAAACCTATACGTTCGATATTGGCGGGCTACAGAGTTGATGGAGTTGACATCCAGCGGCTAAATTCTTATTTATTAATTTCTTGCACAGTGTTTATTTTTATTAATGTAGTCATATGTTTTCCGTTTTCTGGTTTAGATGTAATTGTTATTAGTGTAATGAAGCTAATTACTGTTTTGTCTCTTTGTATTGTTTTTCACACTTCAATCTCATGGCCAATGATGTATAATCAAGGGCTTTGGAAAACAAAAAAAAAAAAAAAAAAAAAAGGAAAGAACTAGGAAAAGAACAAGGAAATCACCTTCATTCAGAGGACAAGGTC